TAGGGCTTTCCACACTAGCTTAAATCCACTGGAAATACAGGCTGTGCGAGGTAGCCCACATAGGTTGGACATTTTATAGGATAGTTTGGGCTAGCTTGAAAAAGAAATAGCTTAAAAAATCCAGCTTAACCCATATATATGCGAGCTAGCGGGTCCGCCTGCAAAAGCAACACCGTTTAATTTTTTGTAGACTTTCACAATCATTCTTCTAAGCACTCAAATTTCATATATTTAATAAAAAATTCATACTCACTATACTTTGTCAATGTGCCATCAATGTCCATAAATAATACTTTCTAAGATTTTAAATAATTAAAATATATAAAAAATAAAGATGATATTGTTTTGTGGGAAGAGAGACCCAGTAAACCCAATACTATTAAAAGCATGCTAAACCTAAATGTTGGTAGGCCATATGATTTCCATGTGATGAAGGTGATATAACCTCATTAGATTTCCTCAAAGTGGTATGAAGGAATGTGATAAAGGGCAACTGGTTCTTTCCTTTCTTTGCTAACTTCGCCTTACCCTCTTCCTTTCATCACTATTAAAGAAGAGCAAAGGATGAGGAAGTTGGTAGCAGCAAGTGAAAATATGTGATAAGGAGATGACTCAACTTGTAAATCTTAGCTAGTCAAGCTCAACAAAGAAAGAAGTGATGCAAAAGAAGCATGATGATGGAAAATCAAATGGTGAGATTCTAAAAGGTGACAAGGTATAGGAGATAAGCGAACAACGTTAGGGATTTGACAATAGCAAATAGCTTGGGACCTAATGTGCTGAGCTGTATAGGCATAGCCTAACCCACTCAACTGGCCTATTTTATTGTTCAGGCTAGACCAACTTGTCAAGTTGGGCCTATTTACCCAACTTTAAAAGGACACAAGTCCTATACTAGGCTTCAAAATGTGTGTGCAAAAAAAAAAAATATAGGCTTTCAATTCCCAATTGAAACATGCCTTTGATATTGCTTATATAAAATGGGGAGAGACAACCGAAAAATAAGTAGAGAGAACAAATAGGCAAAGTGTGAGATTTAAGCCCAATTTTTGTTCCTATAATTAAAGCTAGCCTAATTTTTGGCTTTTAAATTATATGATGCATACAAATCTCATTTTATGCTTTAAACTTATGCACAATACGAGCTTTTAAGTCCTAGATAAAACCTATCCCTGAATAAGAAATGACTTCTTCTTTTTTAAAGGGAGTTAACAAATGGGCGAAGTATAAGCCTATAAGCTCCTAACATCAAAGATGTTATAAACACTAAGTCTCTATTCTTGTAATCAGGACTATCCTAATTTTTAAGTTTCAGATGCACACAATTCCTATTTTTGGCTTTAAACTTGTAAGTAATACGGTTTTCAAGTCTAGAAGAAACCTAATTTTGATACCACTTTTTAAAAATTATAAACGCCTACTTAAAACCATAGAGAGAGAATAATGGAACACTCACACTTAACAACCTGACAATCTTTTAAGTATGGGTCCACAAGATCCAAATGTTAAAAATGATACCAACACCAAGAATCTATTCCTATAATAAGAGCCAGTCCCATTTTAGACTTCAAATGTGTATGGAATCTTGATTTTCAATTCTTAAATGAGACCTGGTTATGATATCACTTTTTAGTAATGGAGAGCGACCACTCAAAAATATAGAGAAAGAATAAATGGGCTAAGGGCAGAGTACTCATACTTAAAGCACCCAAAAATCTTTCCCTCAAATATAAGTCTACAAGCTCTTAAAATCAAATATGTCATAATCACTAAGTGTTTGTTCCTACAATCATAGCTAAGCTAAATATGTCAAATGGCGTAATGAACACAACCATTTTAGGCTTCAAACGTACATGCAATATAAGCTTTCAAGCCTCAGATGAAACATGGCTCTCTGATACTTGTTTAGAATGAGGGCCAACTACTTGAAAATAGAGAGAGGCAACAAATAAGTGAAGTGTTAATTCGAAAGCTCCTATAATTAGGGCTAACTCAATTTCCATTTTAGACTTTGAAAGTATGCTTAATACTATTCAATTTCTAGCCCTTGCTTTGATACCTCTTGTTCCTATGTTGAGTAAGAAAACATTCATACTTGTTAAACTTAATAATCTCTCCCTTAAATGTGGATCCATAGGCTTTTAATATCTAAGATACTACAAATACCAAGTTTCTGTTCCTATAATTAAAGCCAGCCCAATTTTTGAATTTTAAGTAGTAAGATGTATACAAATCTTATTATGGGCTTTGAACGTGTTTTATATCGGCTTTGAACTCCTAAAAAAAGTTTGTGACTTGTGTGAGTTCACAACCTCCAAATATTAAAGAAGTCACAAGTGTTTGTGCCTTCTATCATGTAATCCAGGCTAACTCTCAGGCTTCAAATGATGTGATGTACGCAAGTCCCATTTTAGTTTTCAAAGGTATGTGTAGTACGAGCTCTAAAGTCACAAAGTCTCAGACAAATGGGTGAAGTGTGAGTTCAAAGGTTCTTAATATCAAACACTAAGTCTCTACTCCAATAAAGCCAACCTAATTTTTAGACTTTAAATAGTAATTTTATTTCAAAAGAAAAAGCCTGGCATTGATATTACTTGTTAAAAATAAAGAGTGAAGACCCAAAAACAAGGAGAGAGAACAAATGGACGAAGTGTGAATTCACATCAAGTCTAACACCACTTATTAGAAATAAAGAGTGACTATTTGAGATAGGGAGAGAGAACAAATGGGCAAGTGGCTAAAACTCTCAATATAAAAAAATGCCACAAATGCCAAGTTAGATTACATTTAGGCCCAATCCAATTTTTGAGTTTTGAATGGCGTGCATCACACAATTCTCATTTTATTTTTTCTCTTGGAACTTAAGTGTAAACCTATTCCAGTCTTGTGAAAAAAAATTGACTTGAGTGTTGCACTTTGGGTTAGGCTAAAATTCTATTACTTTTTTGTTCATTCCTAAACTTGAGTTTTAGACATTCCCTTGCATTTTGATTCCTTATACTTTTTAGAGGTAGAGAGGATTTTTAAGGACAATGGTTTATTTTAAGGAAAACAATATTGGTTTGATTTTTTTAAATAATGTTTAACATAAATTGTCTTTATATTAAAAGAATATAGAATCATTTTCAAGAAATTTGAAATTTAAAATCATTTAACAATTTAAAAACAATTTTGTTGTTGTTTGGAAAAATAACAAAAAAAAAATAACAAGTTATTCTAAGAAATTAATTAAGTTTTTAGATGATGTTAAAAAACATTATATATGTAAGAATATCGAGTTCATATGAACATCATATATGCTTAGATGATCGATGTTATAAACATATATGCTGTATGTGTGTAGTTAGGTGTTTTTTCATAAACATATATCGTCATAACTTTAAAAATAGTTACTTTTTATGAAATTTTAAAATTACTTTCACTAAAAAAAAAACTGTCATAAAATTTATTTGATTAATTAAGAAGTTTTATAGGTAAAACTTAATACTTTAGATACAACATACTATTTTACAAAACATAGCAGTTTTTTTTTTTTTTTTTAAATTCTAATCTTGTTCAAACAATAAGCTCCCCTCAATATAAAGGATGCATGAACCTACAACGCGGTAAACAAAACTCAAAGTGATGCCATTTCACTCCTAATCAATGAATCAGGGGGTAAATAGCAAGTTGCTGAATTGAAATGCTAAATTGATATGTTCTGCATATGTGAACATGAAAACTAGGCAAGAGAAAAAGAAAAAGAAACAAATGACTAAAGCAAAATAAAATACTTTGGCAAATAAACCCCATGAAATGTAGAAACTGAAACAATGACTAAAAGACGCACCTCAGCTTCCAAAGATGTTCCGGTATCCGCCTTCACTGTGCAAAGTTTCATGAACAGCTTGAGATTCATCACCAAAGGGGAAGGGAGGAAATCTTGGTAATTGATATTCATGAAGTTATATAGCCTGAGAAAGAAAGATTTCCAAGAAAATAATAAAAACTTGAGATTATTAAAAGATCTAATCATATTTCTCAGTTTTATTCTACTTCATAAACTTTTCGGCCCAAAAATCTGATAAAAAAGATAGTGTAAATGGCAAGTTAGCAACAACATTTACGCAGCTGGCAATGCCTTGTAAGGAGTTCAAAATGGCAATGTTTTTGGGTGGGGTGATATTACTTTCTACATGACAAAGATTGGCTTACTGTTTTATACATGATGCAGGAGGTCACAGCAAGGAAGGGAAACGAAGAGAGATTTCAGGGGCAGTTCAGAGAGAGACAGGAAAGGATCAAAACTACACAGTACTCTCAACTATAGTCAGGTTTGATAAGTCAAGCACAAAGCAGTACTCGAACAAACCCGGTATATGCTTGATAACCAAGATCCTAACGGGTAATCTCAAATAATCCCCACTGGTTAAAATATCCCAATAAGCATTATCCCCATCAAACATTATGAAAGATAGTAAGAAATTATATTATTCTCCAGATATAATCACTAATTTAAGAACCAAAAAGCCCAGGGGAGACGAGATACAGGATATACCTTAGGGAGCGTCTCCAATTTCTTTACTGCTGCTATTTCAAATTGCGTATGCCTTTAAAAGAATAAATGTAAACTACTTTAGTTTCCAATCCAAAAACCTCTCAAAACCTATGCCAACAAATCCAATGACACCCTTAATTGGAATCAAGTCATCAGATAAATAGAAAAATCACTATAGCACTTGCACACACGATTAAATTCATCAGAGAAGTTATAGAACAATGTGCTTGTCAAGGCATGTATTTTTCTAGGCTGATAAAAATGCCAAACAAGAATTGTCCACTCACGAGTGCACCATATACTGTATATTAATACAGACAATGAGAAGAAAATATTTCCATAATGTAAAATGCAAAAGCATTTACTACAAACCATCCAAGGACAATTGAGGTCTCATTGATTATTTTCTTGAGAAAAACATCTTAATAAGGAATTACTTTCATTATTAGAAATGCCTCTGCCATGTCACATAACTTTGCAGCGATATAGGAAGCAGAACACTGTCCAGCAGCTGTGCCATAATCACTCAGAACCCAACAAATGACTTGCAATCAGTATTTAAGATTATGCCATGGAACAAGTCTAATTTCTTTGCAAAATATAACAAGTACAGAAATGCAAAAACCTAAGTAAGATAGTAAGTACTTAAAGAAACATAGATGGAAGCTTCGGCTCCCCAATGGCACGCAAATATGACTCAACCTCCACTTCAGAAAGAAGCTCCCATAAATAACTTATGGCGACATGCATCTTTGTAGTAAATATTTTGAAAAAAACAGTGCAATAATCCAAAAGCTTTTGCAATATAGCTGATGATCTCCGTTGACTATCTGCAGCAGCAACATCTTCTCCAAAACCTTTTGCAATCAATCGCATTAAATTATGTGCCACCTTGATAATCATTCACAAGATCTCCAGCATGATCAAAAACCCTATTCATGGCTCGCAATCAGTAGCCATCGTTAGTTATCGTTGAAGCTGTATGAAAATGGAAAATTGCAGAATGAGGAACCTATATGCACTAATCCTTATGATAACTTGGAGCAAACTGCTCAGCAAGCTCCGCAAATCGTATTGCTATGTAAATGAGCATCACTGGTGCTAATCATGCAATCAATCATGCGTTCGACAATAACTTACACATTGGAGGACTTTGTCATTTTTTATAACAGTTCAAATGTTTTTCGCTTCAGAGTATCATCAGGGTTCTGCAGCACAAATTGAAATTGAATTAGAATTGCAGAGTACCATGACCGTAAGAAATTATCTAGAGGCAACTGCACGAATCGAAAGATGGAGAAGCATAATACAAACTCAGCCACATCCAACATTGTATTCTTAGCAGATTCAACATGACTTCAGAAGAAACAAACATGATAATCCAAAGGACGGTAACAAAATGATTACAGTACCAAAGAGAATGCTTAAAATGTTCAGCTTAACAACAGAAGGGCGATTAAGAATATCCTCACCTCTAAGCAGTCAATGACAGCCAGTTGGTGTTGTTCTGCAATTTGCGGACTTGATTTTATTAGCCGACCAAGAGCATCGTTGCCCCAAGTATTTGAGATTATGAGTGTCGCTCTGGGCACATAACTATAATATATATGTAATATGTGACGTCCAAACGCTGCAAGATGCATGGTAAAATCTCCAAACAGGATTCACAAGAACAAACTAGGCAATCACAAGCACACATGCCAGAGACTCTGAGAGCTTTTGGGCACGAAATAGAAATGATAAGGTAAATTGAGCTCTGAATCTGATCGATGCCCCCAGACCTGGATATTCAATAGCGAAAATCCGAAGCGAACCACACCTAACCCCTGCTCGACGAAAATCCTTGGTGGTGATTATATTCTTAATAGCCTGGTTTGTAAGAATGAACGTCAATACAATCCAGAAGAACCTCAAGTCTGACAATTATTTGTCGTCTGTGCTGCCCTTAATGCTGCTTGTAAATTGATCAATGAAGAAGCTATCCCAGCTGTGGTGCCGCAGGTGATCGAGATGTTGAGTCATTCCACAGCAGCCGTCAGGAAGAAGGCTATTATGGCCATTCATCGTTTCTACCAGAAATCAGTTTGTTGTGTCTCCCACTTGCTCTCTAACTTTCGCAAGAGACTGTGTGATAACCATCCAGGGGTAATGGACGCCGCGTTATGCCCTCTTCTTGATCTTATAACGATTGATTGTTCATTCTCAACGGCTGGTGATTCAGTGACCGTTGGCTGAGTGAGGCGCCAAGACCGCTTTTTTTCTACGCGCCAAGACCGTTGGCTGAGTGAATCACTGAATCAACGTTACGGATTTATCACCCTTGTGAAGACAAACGTAGAAAAAAGCGCCTAACCCAGCCAACGTTCCCTGAATTAAAGTTTATTTTTATTAAAATATTCTTCATTATTATAAGAGTAAATTTTCTCTCACTTTCATGAAAAAATATTGTACTTTTTTATATTTTTAATATATATATATATATATATATATATATATATGAAATTAACTAAAGATAAACATAGAAAAATCAGATATGGAATAAAACCGGAGCGGATCGAATAATTCAAAGTCATCAATTCAGGGATAGTGTTGGCCAAAAAAAAAAAAAAAAATTCAAGGGTAGTGGGATAAAGCCAATTACTTTTTTTCAGTTTTACTTGATATTCTTCTGAAAAAAAAGAATGGGAAAGAAACCATTTGCTCTCAGCCTGAAGGTGAATATCCTCAACTAAAGCGAATAATTTAAACGAGCTAGGTTTATTCGGGCAGCCTAAACTCATGTAATTAAGTATGACCCTAATCCTTTAAATTTTTGGGCTTTCAGATCTTAAAAGTTATCCTGAATGCGTGAGTTGTCAATTTTTTTTTAACAATTTTCAACTTTTATTTTGAAATTATTGTATGTTTTACTCAAAAAACAAAAAAATATACTTTTGGGATACATAAATAATAAAAAATGAAGAGAGCTAATATTTTTTTAAAAAAAATTGTGAGCTTCAAAGTTTAAAAATCAATATTAAAATACATTTTAAATATTAATTTAAAATATTTATAGATTAAAAATAACAATGTAATAATGTATTATAATACATGGCATTAAGATTGAAATGATTAATTAATATTTAACATATTTTAAATATTTTTTAAAATTTAAATGTCTTGCCTATATCCGACCCAAACTTGAATATGATTGAATTTAGTTCAAATTTTTTTGAACATATTTGAATGAGCTTGAACATTTAAAAATATATATTTTATCAAACCCAGTGCTAATATTTTTTATATCTTATTTGGATGGCCCATTAAGATTGGCTTGAATCACTAACGGTTCATTCAAGGCTATTTGGAGAGAAAGAATGCAAAGCTTGGGTTTTTTTTCTTATGTAATTCTCCATTACATGAACATGCCCCGACAACAGCCAAAAAAAAAAAAAAAAAAAAACACATGAACAAAAAATAAAGATTAGTCTAGAAGATAAAAATTTGACACATAATTTAAAAGTTTGTGAGACAAATGTTTATAAAGTAAAGAAAACACATAAACGTGCACTCCCAAATTAGTTTAATAAATTTTTATTATATGATAGATGATTTTTTTTTTGTTTGCTATTCTCAATTATGCAACATTAAGCTCTAGAAATATTTTCCAAAAGCATTGACTTGAATTCGAGGACTCTACTCAAAAGCACAGGATACTCTGAACCATTTAAATCAATTACATCGGTATATGACGATTTTTTTTAATGAACAAATTGGAAGATTTATTATTACTATTGAAGATAGGTGGAGAAAGTGGGCAAAGTGTCTACTTAATTAAGCATGAAATGCATACATAAAAAATCACTCGGGTCTAAATATCTTATCTCAGTCATCATTAATCTTATAACTATACATCCATAGTACTCAACTCAAAAAAATAATATATTATTATAATGAGCAAAATTGGATGTCCCTGCGTTCTGAGAAGCATCAATGAACTCCGAAGTTGACCAGCTTCAATTGAAATATATATTTCTAAAACCGTCGAACACCTTCACTTCAGAACTAATATATGCTTAAAAACAATGAAATGAAAGACTCTTTAATTAGAATGCAATATAATTAAAGTCCGAAATAAGATGGAGATCTCTAACCAAAGGAAAAAGCTAAGATGATGACCAACTCGTCATGTTCATCATTTTGCCCTCAAGTTTCTCTTCCGCAGAAGCAACAGCCACCCCACCACCACTGTGACGGAAAATCTTCCGACCACATGCGACTTTCCTATATTTTGTTTCATTTCCTTCGTCATATGTATTGTGGTTGAGCTCCTCATGAATAAGGCAGGTTGCTGTGTTTTTGAATTACCCTTATATATATATATATATAGTTCTCTGTTATACATTCATTTATATGTTGATTTGGCAGGAACGTGAGATCAGATGGAATGAAAGGCCGTGTCACATGCCCCATTAAGCCCTTCATAATATCTTGATTGTGATTGCAGCTTTGAGTTGCTTGGGTGCGTCCCAACTTCTGGCCAATTTCATATTTTTCAATCATTCTTTAGTTGTAGGCAGAGCAGCAAATTTCCAGTTCAACATGCCTGTTTTCGCAAAGCTTCTAGTTTTCATCGCCTAGTTGGCAGCACCTCAATCTTGTGCATGTCTATTCCCTACTTTTTCATGTGGTTATATTTCAAGCGAGAAATATATGCACAAAGTAAAATATGATTGCATAAAAAGTACAACAAATCCTACATGAGATAAAATTGAATTAGAGTATGCGTGTGGGCAACAAGTACACAAAAACTAACCATATAAACTTAATTCAGGTGGTATGGGTATTATAAAGTATATGTAGGAGCTCAACATTTAAATTTTGTGATGATAAAATTTGTAATATCCTTTAAATTTGTATTCATTATTAATTTGATCATTCAAGTTTAATTTTTATTAACCTAGTTATCTAAATTTGCTTTAGTTATCGATTTGATTCCTTATTGTTTGGAAAGGGAAACACTGTTAAAATTTATTGATATGAATACTTGAATATTTAGTTGACAATCAAGCAAATTAGTGAAAAGAAATTCAATTAATTATTTAATTAGAAACAAAAAAAAAAACAAACTTGAAAACTTAAAAAGAAGTAAAGAAAAAAAAATACTACTTAAGGAATTAGATTAATAAAAGTTAAACTAATTTGAAAATCAATTTATTTTCATTTAGCCATTATACATGTCAATTGTCAAGTCATTAACATGCCTTATATATTATATTAATTTGAGTGTCAATCTGCATTTAAAAATTTAAAAAACTAATGTGATAATTAAAAAATGTAAGGAACTAAATTAATAAAAATTAAATTTAATAGATTAAATTAATAATTGAGACAAATTCAAAGTTTTAAAATTTGAATTGCTTCTCACCAAAAAGAAAAATGATTAAATGATAACATGGACTATAAACTATAGATTCAATGGTGATTTAAATTTTAAACTTGTATTTGATATATTTTGAATCTTGAAAATTTAAATTCAAAGCAATCTGAACTAAAGTTGAGAAATGAATGGACCTAACTCATATGAGCTTGGCCCTTAATCCTTAAGAGATCAAGCACTTAAAATCAATGCTCCTAAAATTTTTCATTTTTGAATCCAACCCTTATTTGGACCCACAAGCCCTTGGAAAAAACTTAGAATTGTTCATTAAAAAAATAATTAAATATTCTAAAATTTAAAAATAAAATCAAACAAATCTGCACATCTCATGCTTTCGCTGTTACTAAACTAGATTTTCAAATCCTAATCTTGGTAAATTACCTCTTTGGCTGTTCGAATGATATCTCTAATAATGGCAGCTTCCTCATTCCTTCTTCCTCAAATTCTCCTTTCAATCTTCTATTTGCTACTTCTAATATCTGCTCTTTTGAGTGATGCCCCCACATCCAATCAACCAAATTCATCATTCTCCAACCAAGCATCAGACTAGAAGTATAGCAACCAACTATAGAAAGCACCATTTTCATTCAAAGCCCAAGCTAAAGAATCTTAACCATTAGTCTAGAGAGAGTAGGAGAGGATGCTTAGATTTAGCCAAAATTTCAAAGATTTATATCCCAATAATCAGAGAAGAGTTGAAACCCAATGGAGGCTAAATTGAAGATTAGATAGTCATTCTGGAGATTTTTGAAGGGATTTTTCTGCATTCTCTTCTTTTACTCTATGCCTTTAGTTTTTTCGTGTTATTGCTGAACTTTTCTACATATTTGGAGTCATGCATGGCTAATTTTGTTTAACCTTTGGGAATTATATAAACCTTTATGCGATGTAGTTAGATTTTTCTTTGGTTGTTGATGTTTAATGAATATTATAGTACAAGTTATTATTCTCATGCTATTGGATAAATAATTCTAGTATGTGTTTGTGTTTTAGAATTCGCCTTTGAAAGAAAGGGATTGCAATTAAAATATTTATTAAGCAACTTAGGATTAAAATTGATCTAATTTATGTTGAGAGAGACATATACTAAAGAGCTCTAAGTAATCTTTACAAGGCTTTGCATAATTGAATCCAATGGTATTAGAACCAGATTGGCCAATTCGACCCGTTTAATTGGGAACCAATCAAGTTGTTATTCTGAAAGTGATGCATAACTGAGGGAGAGGAGAATTGATAGTTTAGATGATTTAGAAGATTCCCTTTATTTTTTATTATTATTATTATTATTATTATTATTATTATTATTTTGCTTCTCCCCATTTCACAATATGAAGTTTTTTTTTTTTTTTAAACTTTTTTGGCTCAGACTCACGCAGAGCAAACAAATCAAACCCTAGACCTAAGCCTCTTGTGGCGGAAGCTCTATCCACCTGTAGTCTCCTCTTCTTCAATAGTCTTCCACTTCCACCCTCCCTCATCACACTCGTTCCTCTTCTATGGCCTCGTGCTTTGTTAATCATGCTCTGTTACTCCAGTTCATCACAAGTCGCGAGCAGGTCCGTCTCTGTCTTCCTCACTGTTGCAAGTCACGACTCTATATATCTTTCCTCATCCCTTGTCAAGTGCGTCTCCTCCTCTTCTTTTGACTAACAGGTCGGAGCTCCAAACCACGACCTTCAATCCTTCATACTCATACTTGAATATTGATACTTCACGCTTGTAGTTCACAAATGCATTGGGTGCTAACTATGGAATGCTTTGCTGACTCTTGTGCATGTATGACAGTATGAGATTATCATATTTATGATTTCCTTCGTCATTATATTAGACTATTGGTGTTAGTGTGTACTCGGATATGTTGTTATACTTGGATTATGTGTTTGAATTTTAATAAATTGTGTTTTTATAACTTTGAAATTTGAAGTATGTGGAGGATTATTACTTTATTAGTAATAACTTTCTTTGAGTTTATTAGTTTAATAATTTTTTTTAGTATTGTTGCCTTTTTTTACAAAAAAGAACTATATTTTTTAGTACATAATATTTAAAATATATTAAACTAATTACAAATGGTCGACCCTATTCTAACCTTGATTTGATCTTTGAACTGTGAACCAATGTTTTGATCGGTTCAATGGTTAATCTAATTTCAATAACATTAATTGAATCCACTGCTATGAGGATTAGATTGGATCGGCCGGTTCAATCAGTTGAATAGGGAATCGATCATAAGCTTGGTCCAATTATAAGAGAAAATTAGTCAATCCAAGAATCAATAAAATTGATCTTTAAACTAGTCAAAACCAACGAAACCAATAGAAAAACTGGTTAAACCAGTCCTGTTAAATTTTTAAAAATTTGAATTCATATTTATAAACTATAATTTATATATATTTATACTGATAAATGAAAAACAATGAATAAATATGCAAGAAATATGTGTATAATATGTATGTGTTTATATTTAAAATTTATAAATCATAAATTATAAAACAAGTGTACATATTTTGGATTAAAATGATAAAATATTGATGGATATTACATTTTTTGTTTTTATTATTTTGTTTGAAATTTAAAAATTCATTTTTATTATTGTATATTTATATTTATTTTTATTTTTATTATATATTATTTAAAATATATTATTTATTCATGACATGTTGAACAATAGTTTAGATTATGATTCAATCATTAAATTGTGAAACCAGTACTTACATTGATTAGTTCAATGATTAGTTCAATTTTCTTAACATTAATTGAATTTTGACTTGCATGAGACATCATAACGTAATTAGATTATGAGTTTTTATGATCAACAAACACTTAAATCTAAACTAGTGTCTTAATTTTAAAGTTAAAATTAAACTTGATAACTAGGATAAATTAAATTGCAAGATACATAAAGAGATTAGAATTCCTAGAGTGTTCCTTGATTACTTATCTTACTATGGAGTCATTTTTGTTGCCTTTATTTTAATATAATTTTTAGTTCATAAAACCTTCACTCTTTGATTGATTTGCTTAATTAAGGCAATAACAAATTTTGTTTGTGCCCAGCATTTTTTTATTTTAATTTTTTGTGAGATGACCTTGATTCACGTTAGATCTATACACTTGTAATGTGTTCAAATTGCTGCACATCAATCTTCACATTTCTAGTATGAAGATCCAGGGAGCGGGAGAGCTTGAAGAACGTGTGTCGAGGATGACGGGATTCGAAAATACATCTCAGAATCTTCAAAATCCCACTCATTTCCCGCATCAACAATCATATTCAAAGGATCAAAATTGGGAATCAGAGCATCTGTGGTGGCATCAAAATTTTGACTTCTCATCCTCTCGTCATTTTCTCGGAATTTGTGTGCATCTGGATATGAATTAAAATGAATAGTTCGTCAACTAATGATTTTTTATGGCTTTGTTCTTGTAAAAAAAGAAGAAGAAGAACACACACGCGCGTAGAGAGAGGAAGGAATTCTAATGTGTTGGCGGCATTAAATTCTGACAAATTCTCTCTCCACCCAAACACCTTTTATAAGTGACAGAAATTGCAAAAGCTCCCATCCAAACCTGTGTTGTCATGTTTCTTGGAACTTCAGGAAAGACGAAGAGACAAGAAGGAAAGAGGGAGAGGGGGAGAGAGATTGGGTTAACCGCATTTGTTTAAAATTAATAGTAGAGATTAAATTATTTTAAATTTTATTATTGAAGGTTAAAAGATACCAAATATAATTTTAAAATTTAAATTATCCTTGTGTCTATAATTTAGGGTGTAATTTGCTACTTAACCCAAAAAAAATTATATACATTTAATATGTTAGAATTTTGGGTCTAAGAGTAGGATCGGGCCTCCTTATATATGCTTCCTTCCAAAGTTGTCCAATAGACTAAAAGGCCCAATAGGATTTCTTGGGAGTTCAACATTGTTCTTCGTAACCACAATATCCAAAGTTAAAAAATATTTTTAATTTCAATGCGTAATAAACACAGATCATGTTGATGAATACTATACATAGGTTGTGCTGTGTGGTTGCTGTAGTGGTACCAATGAGCACGACAAACACGACCGCATAGCAAAATTATGAGGTATTTATAGGTTATATACTAACAATATTGTTGTCTATGAGCCATGCAAGAAGACTCCCATATAATTGATAACTTGTCCAGGGAGTCAATTACACACAATAATAAAGAAACATTATAGTCATATTTAACTCATTTTTATTGATTTATCGTCATTGAAACGTGTACCCCCTTTTTTGTCTGCCACTAAGACTTGTATTACCATTAAGCTAAACAATTAATCCCCTCCTAATCTATGAACCTATAATTATAATTGACAAATCAATAATAAAAACTACATTTTCAACCGAGAATAATGATAATTAGTGAATTTGCCCCCAAAGATAACTAGAGTTCGTTTTTACCCCTCCAATAGTGATCTAAAACAAGCATACATTTGGTAAGAAGAATTACATTCAAAAACCTATTAAAAAATTTATTCACAAATAATGATTCACACAAATAAATTGTTATTAAATTAAAACATGTACTTATTTTTTTAAATAATACTTATCATTCATCCTTATTTAAAAATAAGTTTTTTATTATGCTTTTGAATATAATTCTTTCTATTTGTTATTATATTTATCTTTTTAAGATGTCACGGATTCTTAATACTGATGGCATCAACGGTGAAGAAATTGAGAAACCACCAAACTAATTAAGAATTCTTCAGCAAATAATAACAATAAAAGATACCACGTGTGAAAATGAATGGCAAAGGTGAAGTTCACATACCGTGAGGCAGTGAGAATGATTTTTAATTTATTAAATTATACTCTTTTTATTTAAAAATATAAAATATTTTGAATAAAATGACACCAAATAACTATCTATATTCAAACTAATCATATCTTATTATTTTTATTTTTATTTAATAAAATATTTATTTTAAAATAAATATAAAATAATTTATTCAATAGAACTATTTTAAAAACAAGTACATTAATATATAATTTTTTTAAAAAAAATTTAAATTTTTAAATAGAGAGAATAAATACTTTTTAAGATGAAACAAGTAATCCTCCATCGAACATGACAAGAAAGTATAACAGCGTCCAAGTAGTGGTCCAATTTTATTTTATTTTTATAGCTCTAATTATTCAAACGAAAAACACGTGCATCTCCTGTGTGCTCCTCACTATATTACTTTTTTTAAAAATAATATATAAGAGCATCTTATCCTCTTGGATTCAAAGGGTGATATTAACGTGTTACGTGGCGTTTTGTTTTCATATGATAACACGACAGTATCTATACGCATACGTTGGAGTAGAAATTTTAGTATGTTAAAAATAATTTTTACATATTTGTAAAGATTAGAAACAGGTCATCGCATTAATAATTTTGTTACCAAAAATAGTTCAGTTAAGTTTTCGCAACTCTTTACTTCAATTAATTTCTCGTAAAATCATTGGTTTTAAATTTAAACTCATTAAATTAAATGAAAACTGAATTTACAATCCCATCAATTTCACAGTGTTGACAAAAACAAAAATTCTTAAGCTTCATAATATTAAAAAATTAAAAGCTAAAATTTCGATCAAAATTATTCTTTATACTCAGCAATGCCATGACTTACGTTTTCAGTTTTCAATGTGTTTTTATAATTTATTATAAATAGTTTTTTTAATTTTTTGTAGTAACACGATAACAATGTGCTGGGCTTCTGGGTACCATGTGCTTCTGACGACTGAGAAGGCGTCACACGGTGCTACTCCTTATAGGATGCCCAGGGCTCTCTCCAGTCTTCACTTCTCTTCTCAGTTCACGGAAAACCCCTTCTTAACTTCTACTCCTCCCTCTCTCTTTCCACTTACTTACCTTCTCTCTCTGTCTCTTCAGCTGCATCACGTAGATATCTTCGCTTGCACTCTCAGACTTCACTTTCTTTGGTCTCACGCAGCAGAAATAATGCTATAGATTCTGAATTGAAACCGTTCGCCTATTAATAAGTTGTGTAACATAGCTAGAAGTAAAGCTGGATCAGTTGAGGACAATTGGTAGGGAGCTCGCCAGGGGCTCCCAGGGCGGGTTCGGGCAGTCCAAGGAGTTCCTTGATTTGATCAAGTCCATTGGTGAAGCTCGATCCAAGGCCGAGGAAGACAGAATAGTCCTTCATGAGATCGAAACCCTCAAGCATCGTATAATTGAGCCTGACATTCCCAAGCGCAAGATGAAAGAATATATCATTCGCCTTGTCTATGTGGAGATGCTGGGTCATGATGCCTCCTTCGGCTACATCCACGCTGTTAAGATGACCCATGACGATAATCTACTTCTTAAACGAACTGGGTATTTGGCTGTGACTCTTTTCTTGAATGAAGACCACGATTTGATCATCCTCATAGTCAATACAATCCAGAAGGACCTCAAGTCTGACAATTATTTGGTCATCTGTGCTGCCCTCAATGCTGTTTGTAAATTGATCAATGAAGAAACTATCCCAGCTGTGCTGCCGCAGGTGATCGAGCTGTTGGGTCATTCCAAAGAGGCCGTCAGGAAGAAGGCTATCATGGCCCTTCATCGTTTCTACCAGAAATCGGCTCCTTCCGTCTCCCATTTGGTCTCTAACTTTCGCAAGAGACTGGGTGATAACGATCCAGGGGTAATGGGTGCTGCGTTGTGCCCTCTTGTTGATCTTATAACGACCGACGTTCATTCTTACAAGGACCTTGTCATCAGTTTTGTCAACATTCTTAAACAAGTAGCTGAACGCAGATTGCCAAAGAGCTATGATTATCATCATATCCCCGCTCCATTCATTCAGGTTCATTCTATCTACTCATCACAAATATCCATATAAATTCCATCCAAGTCTTAAAATGCCGCAGCTTGCTTTCTCCAATTCACAAAAAAGCAACATAATGGAGCTTGTTATTGTTCTGCTTCGTTCCCTTCTGCTTATCTTCGTGTCTTTCTTTATTCCGCGGCTAAAATGTCATTTACTTCTAACTAGAATTCCTCTTTGGAATATGCAGATTAGGTTACTGAGAATCCTGGCACTGTTGGGAAGTGGTGACAAACAAGCTAGTGAAAACATGTATACTATTATTGGTGATATAATCAGCAAGAGCGATTCATCAAATAATTTGGGGAATGCTATTCTTTATGAGTGCATCTGCTGCGTCTCTTCAATATATCCCAATCCCAAGCTATTAGCTGTTGCTGCAGATGTTATTGCAAAATTTTTGAAGGTTTGTTCTGGTGAATCCTGTTTGGAGATTTTACCATGCATCTTGCAGCATTTGGATGTCACATATCACATATATATTATTATCATGTGGCCAGAGCGACAGTCATAATCTCAAATACTTGGGCATTGATGCTCTTGGTCGGCTAATAAAATCAAGTCCGCGTATTGCAGAACAACACCAACTGGCTGTCATTGACTGCTTAGAGGTGAGCATGTTCTTATTTGCTCTTCTGCAGTTAAGTTGAACAATTTTAAGTACTCACTTTGGTACTGTAATCATTTTGTTATTGTCCTCTAGATTATCATTTTTGTTTCTGCTTCTGTCATGTTGAATCTGCCAAGAATAAAATGTTGGATATGGCTGAGTTTGTATGATGCTTCTCCATCTTTCAATTTGGGCAGTTGCCTCTGGATAATTTCCTATGGTCATGGTACTCTGCAATTCTAATTAAATCTCAATTTTTGGTACAGGACCCTGATGATACTCTGAAGCGAAAAACATTTGAACTGTTATACAAAATGACAAAGTCCTCCAATGTGGAAGTTATTGTTGAACGCATGATTGATTACATGATTAGTATAAGTGATTCTCATTATAAAACCTACATAGCATCACGGTGTGTTGAGCTTGCTGAGCAATTTGCTCCAACTAATCATTGGTTTATACAGGTGATGAGGATTAGTGCATATAGGTTTCTCTTCTGCAATTTTCCATTTTCACACATCTTCATTGATAACTAATGATTGCAGGCCATGAATAAAGTTTTTGAGCATGCTGGAGATCTTGTGAATGTCAAGGTGGCACACAATTTAATGCGGTTGATTGCAGAAGGTTTTGGGGAGGATGCTGCTGGTACAGATAGTCAATTGAGATCATCAGCTGTATGTTATTTGGATTCTTGCACGGGTTTTTTCAAATATTTACTACCAAGATGCATGTGCACGCATGAGTTATTTATGGGAGCTTCTTTCTGAGGTGCAGGTTGAGTCATATTTGCGCATCATTGGAGAGCCAAAGCTTCCATCAATGTTTCTTCAAGTACTTACTAGCTTCCTTAGGTTTTGTGGTTCTGTACTTGTTATACTTTAATAGAAATTAGACTTATTCCTTGTAATGATCTTAAATGCTGATTTCAGGTCATTTGTTGGGTTCTGGGTGAGTATGGCACAGCTGATGGAAAGTATTCTGCTTCCTATATCGCTGGAAAGTTATGTGACATGGCAGAGGCATATTCTAATGATGAAACTGTTAAGGTACTTGTACAAAGCTAATTTCTTATTAACAGCAGAAGGAGGGAAAATGAGGCTTTAATTGTCCTTGGATGGTTTGTAATAAATGTTTTTATTTAATATCATCAAGATAGAAGTGGCATGATATCAATTTAACTGAGGCATGAATAACTTATGGTCTATGCATAATCTAGCTATTTGTTTCTATTTGATCCAAAAGGTGCCCTATAAATTTTGATCGTCAATGAGTGGTTTGTCCCATTATCTAAATGTTTCTATGTCATCAGGGAAAGACTAGATATTAACTTCATATTTAGAATAACAGGCTTTATTTCATAAAGATAATCTAACTCTTAGAGTCTCTATTAAATCTCAAAGCTGCATGGTAGTAATATCACAAATTTTTTTGGGATTGTTAGTTTTTTATCTCCTTTTTTTGCCCTTCCTGGCATGTGTCTTCACTTGATTCTTTCTTTCTCATCAATTCTAGCGGTTCACATTCTCAGGAATCATTTACTTCAGTTTGCATTTGACATTATGCAAATATTTTCTTCTCATTGTCTGTATTAATATACAGTATGTGGTGAACTGGTGACATGAGGAAAAAATTCTTGTTTGGAATTTTGTTCAGCCAAGAAAAATACATGCCTCGACAAGCACCATGTTCTAAAACTTCTCTGATGAATTTAATTGTGTGAGCAACAATAAGTTTTTCAGCTTGTTGTTTTACTAGTAAAGTGTGTGCAAGTGTTATAATGATTTTCCTATATATCTGATGACTTGATTCCTGTTAAGGGGGTCATGGGATGTATTGGCATGTTCTAGAGGTTTCTACATTGGAAACCAAAGTAGTCTTTGCCGTGCTGTTCCATCATTCTATATCATGAAAGAGGTTTACATTTATTGTTTCATGGGCTTGCTCCCTGTGTTGCTCTTCTATGCGTCATTTTCATTGGATAGAAATTTTGGCCTTGCACAATTTTGTGGAGGAACTAACTTGATCTTTTGAAGGCATATGCAATTTCAGCGTTGATCAAAGTTTATGCATTTGAAATAGCAGCAGGAAAGAAATTGGATTTGCTCCCTGAGGTATATGCTGTATGAGATCCTGTATCTTTGGTCTTCCCTGGGTTTTTGCCTGTTGGTTATTAAATTAATGATTATAGGAGAATAATATAATTTCTTTCTATCATTCATAATGTTTGACGGGGATAATGCTTGTTGGGATATTTTAATCAGTGGGGATTATTTGAGATTACCAGTTAGGATTATAGTTATCAAGTATATGTTGGGTTTGTTTGAGTACTGCTTTGTGCTTGATTTATTAAACCTGAATATAATTGAGAGTACTATGGAGTTTTGATCCTTTCCTGCATCTCTTTGAACTCCCCTGAAATCTCGCTTCCTTTCCCTTCCTTGCTGTGACGTCCTGCATCATGTGTAAAACAATATGCCAATTTTTGACATATAGAAAGTAATATCACCCCAATAACATTGCCATTTTGAACTCCTTTCTAGGCATTGCTAGCTGCATAAATGTTGTTGCTAACTTCCTATTTACATTATCTTTTTTTTCAGATTTTTATTGTTGAAAAGTTTATAAAGTAGAATTAAACTGAGAAATATGATTAGATCTTTTAGTCTCATGTTTTCATTAGTTTCTTGGAAATCTTTCTTTCTCAGGCTATATATCTTCTTCTTCTTCTTCTTTTTTTTGGGAACAAAACAGACCAATTTTATTAATATCATAAAAAAAAAACATTACACACAGTAATGCCCTGTAAAGAAAAACCAAAGCACCTAATCGTACAACCTATAAAAGAGATAAAGCAATCAAGCCTAGGTTACAACCTATCAAAAACAATAAAGTGACCAACTGCAAAATTGAAACCAGAGAGGATGGTGGCTGACAAAGCCATCCTTGTGATACCATACCCCACATAACCAAAGTTGCCGTATGATCGGCAGCATTTTTGCCCTGGCGAGACATCAAGGACAGTGACCAACTCTCATCAGCTCTCCTCAGTTCAAAACACTTCTGCAGAAGATCAAAGCAGTCCCATTCACAGCCAACAGCATCAAAATCCCTCACTCTTCTGTATAACTCCAAGCAATCAGTCCGGATAATAACATGCTTCTCACTGAAGATATCCCTCGCCTGCACAGCTTCAACAAGTGCCAATACTCAGTCATAAAAGCAGATCCAGCCTGCACCTTTCTACCAATTCCAGCCAAAAACCATCCACTACTATCTCTTCCTACCAAACCAATAGCACCATTTCAATATTAATTTTAACCACTCCCTCCTTAGGCCGCTTCCAAACCAAAGCCCTCCCACAGACTGCAACAGGTTCCTACACGACCCTTCTCTTAATCAAACCGGTCCAATTTTCAACAACCAACCCCAAAGCTCTACTCAAGCAAACATCAGGCCTTGTGACAGCATTTTCAAACACAAAAGCACACCTTCCTTTCCAAATGCCCCAAGACGTAGCAGCAAAAAAAGCCACTTCAATCTCATCACCTCTAAACTTGCTAAACAGTTGATCCTCCATCCACTTCCCAAAACTCCTCATACCAACCATATCGAACTTCAAATTCAGAGGAGAACCAAACCAACAACTCTTAACCCAGGGACAAAAAAATAGAACACAACAGATTCAACATTAGAATGACATATATAACAAAGAGGATTATCAGTACATTTCCTCTTACATAGGGCCTCCTTAGTAGCTATGGAACCGCTAACAGCCCTCCACAAAAAAGGCAAACCTTGGAGGCAATTTAATCTTCCAAATATTATTCCACAACCTCTTTGATGCCACATAAGGCTCACCAAGATCCTTCCTACCCCCCACCTTAATCACCTCTTTTGCCTAATGACCCCTCTTTACTCTATACATACCATCCTTATTTCTTAGCCAAACAAAACTATTAGCCAAATTCACTACTGGAATTCCCACACTTCTGATCATTTCCACATCCTCATCAGTAAACCAACAATGAAATCTGCCAAAATCCCAACTCCCCTCAGTAACGATATTCTGAACCTTCAACTGCTTCATTTCCTCAGTCAAAGTTCTAGTTGCTTGACTTAAACGGTCACAGAAGGTATCCATCTATCAACAAACAGAGACACCTTCTCTCTTAACCCAATCCTCCAGCAAATATCCTTATCAATCAAGTCCCTTCCCTCCAAAATACTTGACCGACCCCAAGATGCGTTACTACGCTTTTTAGCTTGCAAACGGTCACATTTAGGAAAGTACACACCTTTCAGAATTGCACACCATGGATCATCAGAATTCTGAAGCAATCTCCTTGCTGTTTTTGCAAGCAAGGCTTTGTTGAAAGCCTCAAAGTCCCTAAACCCCTTACCACCTTCATACTTGGCCAAACACAATGACTTCCATGCTTTCCAATGAATCCTTCCCTCATTACTTCTCTGCCCCCACCAAAAATTAGACATCGTACCATCCAACTCAGCACAAACTTTCTTAGGGAATTTAAAGATAGACATGGGAAATACTGGAATGGCATTCGCCACAGCTTTAACCATAATTTCCCTATCTGCAAAAGTTAAGGTTTGCTGCTTCCAACCTTGTAACTTACCACTCATCTTACTCTTCACAAAAGCCAAAGCTTCTACCTTCGATCTGCCCCACACCATAGGCAATCCATGATACTTCCCAGGATTATCTGTTGCATCAATTCCTATATCCTGAAAACAACAATTTTAACCTCAGGACCAGCATTTCCAGAGAAAAAAATACCTGATTTATTCAGATTCACTGACTGTCCCAAGGCATTGCAGTAATCATCAAGAATCTGCTTCAAAACTTTACAATTCCTCCTCCTTGCATCCACAAAAACAATGCATCATCAGCAAAAAAAACAATGAGACAAAATGGGACCCTTCTGCACCATCTTTATACCCCTCGACCTCCCTTCATCCACCCCTTGCTGAACCATAGCAGATAATACATTCATAACAAGAATAAACAGGTAGGGAGACAGCAGATCTCCCTACCTAATACCCCTCCCCATCCTTAATCTTGCTATCTTCCTCCTTGAGACCAGCAAGGTCAAAGAAAACCGAACTAACACACTCCATCACCCACATAATCGATTTCTCACAAAACCCCAACCTCCTCAATACTTCTTCAATAAGACACCACTCCAACCTATCATAGGCCTTGTTCATGTCCACTTTCACTGCCATTTCCACCTTCCCTCCCTCCTTTTTATTTCTCAAATAATGAAAGGCCTCGTGCACAATGATTATGTTATCTTGAATAAATCTATGAGCAACAAAAGCTCTCTGATTACCGGAGATAATTCTGCACAGAAAACCCTTGACATTATCCAATAGGTCAAAATTGTCCCACAGTTTCAGCCTTATCCACTTTCGGAATTAACACCACATTTGTCTCATTAACAGCTTTCAGACTAGCATTATTCATAAAGAAATCAGTCACCATACTTACCACCTCAACACTAGCCTCTCCCCATGTTGAATGATAAAACACACCAGGAAACCTATCTAGGCCCAGGGCTTCGGTCCCTCCAAGCTGAAACACAGCCTCTTTTATCTCATCAACAGAAACAATCTTTTCCAGAAGCATGTTGTCAGCATCATCCACCTGCTTCTTCACAAACTTCAAAGCCTTCTCCATATTTGACACACCACCAGATGCAAAAAGTTCATTATAAAAATTAGAGAAAACATCATTAATCTGATCCATATCCTCAATCCAAACTCCATCATCCCCTTCGAGCTTCACCACCTTATTTCTAGCTCTCCTCTGAATGGTACAAGAGTGAAAAAATATGGTGTTTCTGTCACCAGTAAACAACCAATTTACATGACAACACTGCCACCAAAACTTCCCCTTCCTATCCCAAGCTTTCTCAATTTGCATCACAAGAGATTCTCCCATAGCTCTCTTATTCTCATCCCAAATGTCTCTATGACACTCGTCAAGTTTCTGTGTTGGCAACTCCACTTGCTTCTTAGCATTCAGGAAAACCTCCCTAGCTCATTCCACCAAAAGCATTTCCCTGCAACTTAGTAGTATTCAATCCGTCCTGCTGATTCCAAGCATTATGCACCATCATTTCAAATGTAGGCTTATTCATGCTCTTCTCAGTTAGCAGCTTGCCAACCAAAACAACCTTTAGATTCACCATCACCCCAAACTATCTTCATTAATCACATCATCAGAACCAGCATTCTCCTCCATTATTAGTTCACAGGTAGAGCTATGCCGATTACCACAACCTCCAATCTTCCAATCACCAATCAATCTTCCAATCACAGGTAGAGCTATGTCCATCTGATCTGATCACTCAATCCATTTGCTGAATTGGAAGGTGGTGGGGAGAGTAGTTCTTCCCAAAAACAAAATGATGATGAGGAGCCTTACATACAATGGGCTGAACAAAAGGCGCGTGGAAAAGAAATTATAGCAGCTGCACTTGAAGATTACCCTGCTATAAACCGTCTAAACAAATATGTCGTGGCATCTGCATCAACATCCTCTGCGGTCTCTCAATACAGACCTCCAGAAGATACAGCCATGACACCACCAGGCTATCCCCCTACACCGGATATGCCATCCACAAGCATGCAAACCCCTCGCTTCGAAGGATTCAGAGGAAGGAGAACGCAGTTCAGGAGAGAGGATCCCTTAGAATGGTGGAGCTTTCCTTCAGCAAACAATAGTCAAGGAGCAATGTTTATATTGCCCCAAGATTATTCTATGATTAATGATGCCTTCACCAGATGGGAATCAAATACGAAGAATTTCCTCAGCATGCTAAATTTTGATTCTGCTAAGGCAAAGGCAGAATATATGGAGAATCTCCTAGGAGAAAAGGAGAAGATGATCTGGATCACCTGGAGAATGCAGTACTTAACAGAGTATGATACTTTGCTGAGAAACTCTGAAGGTCCAGATGGCACTCAAAATATCCTGTCGCAGATAAGAAGAGTTTTTACTCTTGAGGACCCTGTAACAGGATCGACACTTGAACAGGAACAGGCTTATCGGGATATTGAAAGACTGACTTGTCCCGATATTAAACAT